TTAAGGTGTAAATTTGTATATGTGCCTATACTTCACGACAAAACTAAAACAAATGTGCCACAAGTGTTAATGGAACGAGCAGCTCTGTATTAAATGTGTCATAAATTAATTGAAAAATATGCTGATTGATACTTAAAAACAAAAATTGGATACTTTTGGATGCTTATTAGAAAAAAATTTTGAAAGAGCAAAGGTAAGCTAAGCGGTGCAGCACAAGAAGTCTCACGGGACATTATTCCCTGCGGAGAGACGTCAGTAAAATTAATCTTAAATTATGACACGAGCGGCTGATATTTATTTATAATATAAACATTTCCCCCTCATCTGCTTTTTATAGTTAAATGTCTCAACCAAGAAAACTCAAGGTTGCCTCGAATACTGGCGGAAGAGACGGTGCACACAGCTACTTACTGGGTAAAAGGCTGGGACGATATTGTCCATAAGGTAAATATGGTTGCTATAACAGACTTCTCTCTAAAAGCACTAGGCAGCTACATCTCTCACTTACTGGATAAGCTTGTTAGCTTATGTGGTCAGTATGTTTCTTGAATGTGCCTAAAGGCCAATTTCTCGTGATCTGTACCCACAGATACATAGTTCTCTTATCTCAAATATATTTTAGTGGTGAATTTAGCGTCTACAACATAAGATTGATTTTCCGCGCTAAAGCTGGTCTCCTCAACCTCAACGCAAGAACTTTTTAACACGTTTCTTCGGAAATTTGTCCAGTTTGTAATTTGGGTGAAGTAGAATGTATATGCCACGGTTGCCAACCGTCCAGTTTTCGACCGGACAGTTTGGTTTTTGAGGTGATTGCCCGGGTCCGGTCGAATTATCCGGTTTTCTGGAAAGAACGCATTTAAGTTTTTCGATGGAAAAATTATACATATCGTCACCTGAAGTACAAAATGCCATAACCAATAAAAAATTTAAAATTAACTTTTAGATTTATATGATGGGTTTCATCGAATCACAACTCCCCACATCATTTCATAAAAAAAAATTGCCAAAAATCAACGCAATTTTTTAGCAACTCCAAGCTTGCACTTTGTTACACTAAAATTAGATGGGCTATAAAACTGCATACCTGACTAGAAATTTATAAATTAGTATGCAAATTTATTGAATTTTCTTGAGTTTTTCACAAAGTTTAGAGATTTAGTTTTTATGTTTATTGTAATGAACTATATTTTTATAAAAAATTATCGAAAATCAATTAGAATAAAAAGCTTTGCACATATCGCGAAAATTTCTCTGTCCCAATACTTTTGTCCCGCACTGTATATTTATAGATATACATACAGTGCCGAACAAAAGTATTGGCTTAGAGAATTTTTCGCAATGTACGCAAACTTTTATATTATTTCTTTTCGATAAAAACAAAATCTCTAAACCGTGTGCAAAACTCAGGAGAATTCAATAAATTTGCGTACTAATCAGATTTTTTACAAAAATTCAATTGTTATGCACAAAGTGCATATTTTTTCACAGAGTTTCCTCTGTTCAACCTTTCCAACTTTTTTATTTCATCAAAACAGTTTTCTAAATCAAAAATTAACCACTCTTCCTCCCCATCTCTTCTTACTACGTTTTTATTTGTATAGTGTGCGGTTTTCGGATATAAAAAAGTTGGTAACCGTAGTATATGCCACATCTATAAAAACATACATGCGTCTGCATTTTGCTTGGTGAAATAGCTTTAGATTTGGCTAAAGCCATTAGCATTTTAAATGGTCACAGCTACTTAGCTTTATTTATATGCCTACTAGAAAGCACTTATGATTAATGGATTTTATTGAAGATATATCTATTTATACATATATTTATGTAGGTTGTAATATGTGAATATTTCATAGCGTGATATACAACAATTTCTACTATTGTCACATCTGTTGCTTATTTATTTAAATTTAAGTTGGATTAATATAATACAATTATAGTATACTACTATAAAAAATTTAAAATTTTTTTCATAGTCTTATACTTTGGATGCTTGGCTATAAACTTCTGTTACGAAACCTTCAAAAGGGATTTCAAGCATAAATGTTCAACATCTAGTTTTGAGCAGAGTCAAGTGTCGCATAATTAAAAATCTGATCTTTAATTTGGTAAAAAATTGGCAATGATCGAAAATTATTTGTCAAAGGTTTGTTATAAAACAAACTCAAAGCATCCCTAGTTGTTTTCCTACTCTTTTCATCATCTGTAAACATAACTTAAAAATATAAGTAAGAAAATGAATGTGGAAAAGTGTACAGCTCGCGAGTGCCATCGACGGAGCAGATATACTCAAGTGTCAGTGTCCTTGGAAGATCTTTTGATGGACTACGAAACTGGACAAAAATTCGAGAACGTATTTATGTATTCTTAGCATACTATACACCGAATAATTTTTACTGGTTTTGCTATGCAAATACTCGTCTGCGCAGCATTAAAAAATAATCGAATACATTAAAAGTTAGACAACGGCAAAAATCTTTGAAAAGTATAGAAAGTACGAAAACCATTGAAGCAAATGCTTCAAAATAAAATAAGGTAAGACTGTAAAATGCATACTTATCAGGCTGCCACCGTAAGTGGCAAATAGTTTTAATAGGCTCAAGTTTTATTTGAATCAACATTCCATAGAAATATGAACGTGCGTAAAACACAAAATAAATTTGTATTTAAAAAATATGAACGCATTATTTAAAATGTTTATTAGGCATATGCCAGCTCAACGCATAAAAGCAATTAACTCGTCAAATAGCAAAACGTATTTATCAAATATGTATGTTTGTAAATTAGGGTGGTCCGAAAAGGCATTTGGAAAAAAAAAAGTTAAATCCGAATTTTAATGCTGTCACCGCATAGGATGTTTCTATATCGAAAAATATACTACTGTTTATTTTAATTCCATGGCTGAATTTCTTTATTCATTCTGAACGTTTGGAATAAACATGTTTGTTTACTTATTCTTTAGAACGTTCCTGATGATATGTTAACGTATATTTCAAAAGCATTCTGTTTATTCCGGCTGTGAAATGGGATTATCCGGAATGTGTAAAGAAACGCAGCCCATGTATTTTATATCGGAAAAAGATAATTCTCGAAAGTCAATATTTTTCTATGCTCCTCTTCAGGAGACTTCCAATAATAATACCCAATTGTTTATTTTACACTTTTTAAATTCAAACGACTTTGTATGGGTACCCCCATTGCATTTTTGGGGGTTTTTGGGGGACCTATAAAAAATAGTTCATTATAAGAAATGGCTAACTAAACAATTTGGAATCATTACTGGAAGTCTACTGAAGATAAACACAATTTTCAATAAAAAAAAAGATTGACTTTTAAGTATTCTATACGTTTTCTATGAAAATTTTTTATTTTTTTTTCATATAAAATACATGGCCATTATTGATTTCAAAATAAAACAAGTAAAGAATTATAAGTTCGGGCGAAACCGAACATTTCAGCAAAATGCATGATAAGCAAGAGTATTTTCCCGATGTCAAACAGATTCGATAATATGCTATGAGATATTGATAAGACTGCTATCAATATACACTTATGTATGTAGTCATAAGTGGGTGGTGCCACGCCCATTTTACAAAAATCTATAATATTGTGTCTTGTTGAGAGATTGTTGTAAGTTGGCATCTTTAGATATTGACATCGGAATTTTCGTAGTTCTAAAATTTACCGTTATGCGGTAGGTGGCGGTAATTTTAACCCGATTTCAAAAATGTTCAGCATATCGTTTTTTGAGCCTAGGATGATAAATTGGTAGAAATTGATAAACCGGTTACCGAGATGTACATATGTAGGCGTAAGTGGGCGGTGTCACGCGCATTTTCCCAAAAATTGTCCTAAGTAGCAGCTTCTGCTGAGAGGTCATTGAATATTTCGATTTTGTGTAAATTAGCCTAAATAGTACTAATTTATCGCAGTTTTCGTATTTCGGTAAATTACCGTTATATGGTAGGTGGATGTGTTTCTTCCCTGATTTCAAAAATTTCCAAAGAGTTTCTTAGTGATGCTCTAAGCAATGCTCGTAACGAGTTTGGTAGGGATGGTAGGGGACCATTTTCAAAAAAAATCATAAACGTGTTATTTTATGCCAAAATTCTGCTTCGCGTACCAACTTTCAACAATTTGGATCCGGTATTTACGGAAATATCGTAGTTTTTGCTAATTTCTGAAATACGGTTATATTGGAGGTGGGCGTGGTTATTGTACGATGTGGACACTTTTCAATCCCAACCTACCTTGGATAAAGGGAAACTTACGTTCCAAATTTTGTGGACATATCTAAATTTTTTCTCGAGTTGTCGTGTACACGGGCGGACGGACGGACAGTCGCCGCTTAATCGATTTCTCTTTTCATTCTGATCATTTATGTATACATTTGTCTATATCTATCTCGACGCGTTTTGCCTGTTACAAACAACCGTTAGGCGAGCAAAGTTATAGTACCCTTGTGCACAAGTGCGCTCGGATATAAAAAATAAACAGGGGTATATAACTAGGGTGGGAGCATGAAAATTCCGACTTTACCTTTTTGGACTACCCCAATGTACACGCATGTATATGTGATATTAGATATCTACTCCCAAAAGTATAATAAATGTGTGACAGTTGTTTTGCTGCTGGCGCCAAAAAAATTTAACATATGGCTGTGTCAATAAAACTTTATTCAACACAAAATAAAGCAGCATAATTTTACTTAAAGCTAATCAACTGTGAAATAGTAAGCAATGAGAGAGCACCAGTGCTGAATAGCCAGACATCAAGGCAACATATACATATTTAGCTAGAGATTTTGTGAAGTTAAGAGAAGCAGCTAATAAAACTTTGTTTCTGCAGGTGATAAAACTTGGTCTCTGCAGGTAATAAAACTTTATCGCTCTTTTACTACGGTTATTCCAATGCAGACAGCAACTCCAAAGAGAAATACTCTGCACAGCTGCTACAGAAGTGATCACTGATCATGCGGCAGACCACACATAAGCTGGAGATCAGTACAGCTTTTATCAGACGATCGAAGATCTTGGTGGGTTGTGGAAGCACGATGAAGTTGTGTATACAAGAAATGGAAAACGTGTAGAGAAAAATAGTGTGGAATAGAGAAATAGTAATAAAAACAAAAGCAAAATGTGTGCTGCAACAAATCAAATACAATATAATTTCAATATGAATAATCCGGAACAAAATATTGGTGAAAATAATGTAAATAACTTAAGCATTTATTTGGATAAGGAAAAATGTGCAAAAATCAGACGATTTATTCTGATCGGCGTGCTTGTAGTGCTGGGCATTGTGGGCTGGCATTTCTACGGTGAGTTAGTGAAACGTAAACAAACGAAAAAATATTGCATGAATAAGAAAACACTTACCTAACATTTGCGGTTGCAGAGTATCTCTTCGCGGAAAAGGGTGGTCCGAACGACCCTACAACTTTCGTCGAACATGAAATTATCGATCTAACACGCCGTTTATTCGCCGACGAAGTGCGTCAGAATAGCTATCCGATTGATGTAAATTTTCAAGGCAAGACTAGAGCATTTCAACGCGACGATCGTGCCGCACAGCCGTAAGTGTAAACATATTTTCATAGATATGTACATTAGGGTGCATCACTCCACATAAGAAAAAACGGTAATGCTTTTCCATCGATTGTATAGAATTTATTATATTTTATGACTTCCGCAGAAAAATATTTCGGAAAAATATTAAAGACCTACTTGAAATCATCTCCAAATTTCATAAATAAAATTAGTTTTTAAAAATATTTTTTTTTTTTAATCATCTCGAAAGACAGAAAAATTAAGCCTGAAAGGTTTGAATAAGAATGCTTAAAAAAATTCTTAACAAAATCTAAATAATGCGATTAAATCTTAATATTTTTCCCAAATATTTTGGCGGAAGTCTTAAAACCATTGTATAAATCCAATGGAAATACCGCAACTTGTTTATTTGATGAAGCGCCCTAATGTACATACATATGTACTTATGTACATTAAATTTGCTGTTTTTCCATCGGAATTATACAGTTGTTTATATTCTAAGACTTCCGCCAAAATATTGCGAAAAAAATTACGATATATGTGAGCTATATCGATATACATATACATATATACGTATGTACATTAGACCATACCAGAAACAAAAGCCTGCTGTAAGCCCCTGAGTCTAAAGTATTTTGGCAAGGCGATTTCGATTTTTTTTAAGTAAAATACATATGTACATCGATGTTGTTGTACTTTGTTTTTGTAAATTTCATTGACCTCAAGTACCCATTTCTGGTACTTATCCACCAGATCTCAGTTCTTATCACCCTAGCGTACAACCTTAATGTCAGTTAATTAGGGCTCTCCGAAAATCATTTAGGGAGTTCACAAGGTATCATAAGTGTCGTAAGTCGTAAAGTTTTTAAAGGCTAAATAAATTTTTGTAGGACTTGAAACCACAACCAACTATTTTTTAACGGTGTGAAATTATATAATACGACTTTTATGGTAACTGCTGAATCCCTTAAATATAGCCGTTTAAAGTTTACGATATACAACAATACGACAGTCTGAAACACCTTGTGAATTCACTAATTTTCGTTTTACTTAAGAATAATTTTGATTATTCCAGTAGAACTATTTAAAAATAAATTTTCTATATCACCGAAAAATGTAAAAACGTGACCCCTAAGTTCGGCAAAAAAAAATAAAATATTCGAAGACAGTTTTTTGTTTGCTTGCAAGGTGGTACGGTCTAATGTACAAGGATGTGTATATTTATTCAGCTTATTGCGTGGGCTCTTTTCAATTACAATGCTTCTCTTTCCAGGCTGCTGAAAATGAATGATGCCCTACTCGCATCTAAACCCTCATCCACAATCGCATTGTTGCGACGTCTTTTCGATAACTATGTGCTCGATGTGCACGCTGTTGAAGAAACTACTCCCGAGCAAGCGCTGGAGGAAATGGATTTTCTAAATGCTGTGCTGAAAACGTCGATAATGAATCACACAATGAGGTTTCTGCAACAGAAAGGTTGTAATTTAATTTTTCATACAATTTATGAAAACCGTAATCTTACTGAGCGCGAAACTAAATTAACTTTTTTGTATCTCCATTAGACCTCGTTTCCTCCGATTACAATGATCAGCTACAATTGCTCAAGCACATTTGGTTTACGCAATATTCACGCTTCAAAGGACGATTGGGCAGTTCGGGTTTCGAGCATGTTTTCCTCGCCGAAGTGCGTGAGGACACCATTTTAGGTCTACACAATTGGGTTTATTTTCATGATCAGGAGCAACAGGGGAATTTAGACTACAAAGGATTCATCGAGAAAATACGTTTGGAAAAGGTTAATATTAATTATTTTGTAGCCAGTGCATAAATTTGTAATATCGGATGAGTTCTGCGTAAAAGTTATCAGCCCTCAGATTCGTACTGAACCCTGTACAAAGTTTGTTATTACTAAATAGTCGCCAAACAGAGTAGGTCCGAACCAGTGGGCAACACGCGTACTAGACTAAAACCAAACCTTTAGGCTAGGGATGCACAGCAGAGGTGCACGGCGTCGACGTCGCGGGCAAACTGCGAGCTCGCAAAAGTGCTTGGCGAGGTGAAGTGAGCTGTACGGAGATGCGTGTATGTATGTGTACTTTTGCGACAACGGAGTCAGTGTGGCATCAGTGCACCAGAAAAAGCCCATTTTTCTAAAACAAAAGCACCAAGTTTTTATTGTCATATTTAATAATTTTTTTGATTCAGTAAAAAGTGTACATACATACACATGTTTGTATTTTCACACGTTTTTTTAAATAAATTAATTTAAATACATTTATAAAAACGCAAAGCATATTTAAAGTATCTATTCCTCACATTTTATTCAGTAAATGAATTCCATCTTAATGTAGAATAGAAGTGCATAGTGTATGCATACATATATACTTATGAAGTCGGTGTGCTTAAATTTAAAAAAGCATCACCAAATAACGCACCAAGCACTGAATTTTTCTATGAGACTTTATAATAATATTGACTTGCTAGCATCGGAACTGAGTCTTTTACGTTTCAAACAACTCCATAAGTTATAAAAACTTGGGATTTCTACCTATTTGGCCCCAGTTTTGGTGAGTGTTTGGGATCATTGTCCTGTTAAAATTAATAAAAGCCTGCGAAAAGTATCCTTAGAAATTTGCAAATTCGTTGAAATTGTTAATTTATTGTCACCTTTCTTTTTACCATCGCTTTTCCTACGGGTGCATTTACACAGAAAGCCGAGCTGCGCCGAGCGAAGCAAGGTGGAACAAGGCGAAGCTGCTGTTATTCACACTGAATGAAGCGAAGCGGAGCTTTTCTGATGAACTCGGCTGGAAAGATACCACAAAAATTATCGTCAGTGAAACGCGGCAAAAATATTTGCTCAATTTTATTAAAAAGTTTAGTTGTAAAATTTGATTTTGTTTTAATATTTTGATATCTTCTTTGCAGCAGCGTCATGGCGCTCAAAAATTAGATAGAAAACAAACAAAATCAAAAACTGCTTTGCTTTCCGCTCCAAAACGCTTCTGAAAAAGCTTGCTGTATGAACAGCTTCATATAGCTACAGCAATTTGAAAGCTTCACTTAGCTCGGAACAGCTTCTCTCGGCTCGGCTCCGCTTTCTGTGTGAACGTACCCTAAGGCGTAACACGATCCTACATCATTAAATGTACACATACAAACCTGATAGTTTAAATATTTTGGGGGTTAGTAGTATCTTTGATGCATTTCCACAGCCGCCTGAACCCATATTCCGACTGAAAATATTTATTTTTATCCTTAAGAGTTAAAATTTCCATTAAATAATATTAAATTTTGGTAGGATAGTGTTGCCATTTAAGAAGAACTTGTAAATCACAAGATAGTATCAGTCCAATGCTTTTTCTTGGTAAAAATGCGTTTCTGACTAAAAATGTTTCTGGTTGTCAAGGCAGGCTTCCTCCTCTTTATCTTTGTGATGCAACAACTTGTTTCCACCGCTGGCATAATGTCCAGTCACTTGCTTCGTGGTGATAAAGCAGTCATTTTTCATTTTGAGCCAAAGTTGATTGGTATTCAGGGACCTTCTAATATGCCTAGCATGACGAATTGCATTTTTTTTTTGTAGCCTCTTGACCTTGCAGACTGATGTCGGCCTTTTTGTCGCTTGTTTAGATGTTTTTTCTGATATGACTTCTTTGTTTATAGCATGGACTTTCTGAGCGTTGTACAAAAAGTTTTAATTTTTTTTAGCTTGGTATGTACACTTAAAGCTCTCACAGTGAAAATCCCACGCGCCCCAATTACGAAATTTCAGGAAATGAGCGAGAACTCCTCTTTGAATTACAAAACTCAGCAATTACTAAGAAGGTGAAAATTTGGAACAATGCAATCTATTTATATTTGGATATTTTTTACTGAGTTTCCACATGCAAATATTAAAATTTGTATTATCAAACGTTAAGCTAAACAGCGATAAGACGAAATGCAAATTTAAATTACCATAAATTGAAAAAGTACATTACCACAAATTTAACTTTCCATTTTATTGTTCCAGTTTTGCTCTTCAGTGTATGAGTGTCTTTCTTTGATTTCGAATTGAAAACCCATTGCGATCATATTGTACTAGCAATATAGAAGTATTACTTATATGATACTATACTGTAATTCGTCGAATAAAAAGTCTACACTTATTCTACCACACTGGTCGGGATGCAGGGTTACCTCTTCCAGAGTGTTAGACCTGCTGTATTGGTCGATGATATTCTCCATTGCTTATCGACCTGAATTTCTTAGCAAGATAATAATCTTTCTTACCTACCTTTGGGATACAGATAACCCGAGCTCTTTGTCACACCTCGGGAAAGAGTATGGGTCAGTGCTAGAGTGTCTCACATAATATTGACAAGGGGTGGAAGTAGAAGCTCCACGTCCTGCTTCGGCAGAACTGGATTGATGCCACCAACCCCGAGGCCCTCTACCGTTCGAAAAATTCCTGCGCCCAGTGTACTGATTGCCGGTTTATAAGGCTTTTGATCAGCTCCTCGTCCGATGGGAAAGGCTGGAGCGCGTGGAACACCGTATCCCTAGAGGTCAGAAAAGCGTCCGCGAAATGCTTTTAAGTTGATAAGTTAATCCCTGCGACCCTTTTCAGAAAATTTTAAGAAGCGCTTATTTACTATGTAAGTATTTAGTTATTAGAACAGAACCAATTAGCCAATTGAGTTTTATTAAGGAGGCTTTAGATCCAACTAAAATACGTTTTTGAGTAGGTACGGAGGATTCAAGGGAGCCCGCTTACGAAATACAATTAAAAAATTTGTAGTTCTCCATCAAACGCCCGCCATTGGCAAACATTTTGAAGCAATAGATTTCAGTTCACATAAATATTGTGCTACAATAATCCAAAGGAAAGTTGTTATTTTCTCTTACTCCGGAATCGATACTAAAAACATCAAGCCAAAAATAGAATTACGCGAAACTAGGTCTTAAGGAGTTTTTGTACTTCAAAAACTTTTACAATATTTCTAGCGCAGCCCAAGGTTCGAAATAAACGCAGTGGTTATGAAATTTATATATCTTATATACTATGTTCATGCCTATGCATACTGTCTTTAACTATTTAACTATTCATAGTAATTAAAGCTCACACTTTCCCCCTCCCCTCACTCACACAGGACAAATATGTGCTCGCAACACGCTTCGAATTCCATAATCATGTCAAACCCTACAACACTCTCTTCATTGGCACTTCACCGGAATTTGAGTTGAGTGTTTACACCGTCTGCTTTCTATTGCATGGCGATGAGCCGTGTCCGGTGCAAATGGGACAGACAAAATTCAATATAAACACAAATGTTTGGAATTGGCGTGGCAGGAAGACACTGGCGGCTGCATTTCCGAGCATCGAAAATTGAATGAGGAGTGGGCGGTTTAACGAACATTTAAGTATCTTAAATGGGGAAAATGTATTATAGTTGATTTAATATACTATTAAATATTTGTTTGCTAAATAAATAATTTTATTCAAAAAGAGGCTTCATGAAATGCGAGTCCCGATTTGTATGTAGTTTGTAGTTAAAAAAATAAAATAAAATAAAATAAAATAAAATAAAATAAAATAAAATAAAAAAATGAAGTATTGATCAAACATACAAGATTACACCGCGCGACAGTAAATTTTACCACATATAAATTAATATATTAGGAAAATATATGTAAATATAGTAAAGCGTTTTTTATTATTCACTCTGACTTCAGAATTTTTTTAAGCATTTTGAATTTTAAAAATATGATAAATTCAAAAAATTATTAAGAAATTTCCGTGCAATGTAGAATAACAATTTGGATACCAAATAAAAGTGAAAATCCTGTAGAATTAAAAAAATATAAACGTTTTTGGTGCGAAATGACGAATGAGTATGGAAATTTACCTTTTAAAATTTTATCCCTGAATAACCTTGAAAATTTGCAATATTTATTTTTGAAAAAATTATATATTAAGGACTAACATATACACACACACACACACGACCACATCCTCGAATGCCATCCTCCTAATTTTATTAACTTAAAAAATAAAATTAATTAAAAGCGCATTTTCAGTACCTTCTAAACCAAAAAGCCCTAATGTTTTTCAATTCTACAGGATTCGCTCTTATATTTGGCACTCATATTGTTATTGTGCATTCCACAGATTTTTTTAAATCGTTTTTTGAATTAATCATATCTTTATCATTTTAAAGTCCTTTCAGAGTGAAAAACTAAAAAAAAAAACTGTAAAATCTAATAGAATTGAAAAACGAATCAAATGAAGATACTTTTTAATATACCAAGTTTCTCTGAATAGACTAAGAATAGAAAGTCATTTTTCCTTTACCCATTGAATTTATCTTGATAAGTATTGAATTTAAAATGTTTACAAAAGTCGATATAAACAATTTATGTCTATGACGTGGACATTTTTGATTTTATGATATTACAATGAAAAAATTCATATTGAAATCAGCTGTAAATTTCTGATTTTTCCAATATATTAAAAGTTATCACAAAAACTTAAAAATCTAATAAAAATACATAAGATATGTATGTAAGTGTGTTTTCTTCACAAAAAAGGACTTTATTGTGAGAACTCCGATTTCTATTTTTCACCCATAAATGAAAATTAAAAAAATAATATAATAAATAAGTTAATTTTCTTTTACTAAAATAACATATCTTCGACAGTATTAGTCCTACATATTTTGGTATCCTATATTACCACGCTGGGTTCCCGGACATAGCAATATGAAAGGCAATGAGTCGGCTGATGAGATGGCTAGAAGTAGCAGAAGTGGAACTGCTGGATCTCCTCGGCTTCATTAGGGATAGTTATTGGCTCAGTAAAATAATGACTTAACGCTACTCTTTCGATATAGGTACGTGTCTCCTCCTGACACTCACTAAAAGAGGGCACTCACAATGGAAAATTCTGTCTCCGAGTGAAAGTATTGACTATTCTATACACGCCCTCCTAACCTAACCTAACCTAACCTAACCTTTATCTTTATACTCTATCGATAAAAAATCGATAGTAATATCCATCAAAACATTAGTAACAAACCCGATAAAAACATCATTAACATAATCAATAAAAAGTTCGATAAAAATATCGATAGCAAAATCGATAAAATAGCGATTAGAAAATCCATTTAAGTCTCGATAAAAATATCGATAGAAACCCCATAAAAATATCTATAACAAAATTGGTAAAAATATCGATAGGAAAATCGATAAAAAATATCGATAAACAATTCGATTAAAATGTCGATAGAAAATTCGATAACAATATCGATATCATGATGGATACAATATCAATAATAAAAAATATCGAAAACAAAATCGATAAAAATATCGATATCAAATAGATTATTTTATCGATAAGTTCCGAAAGTGGAGCGATCTTCGTCATAAGAAAATTCTCTATCAAAATTAAAACACACTGCAGCATGTATATAAGATTGCACACAACGACGCAGCTCGTTTGACGAATCGGTCACAAAATCAGTAGTCAGTGAAGAAATATAATTATTTCTGTTCTTTTCTAGTAGATAATTATCAGGTAGAAGATGATTGTAAAATTTGGGGAATCATTTTATGCGGTATTCAGCTGATGCGAATTTCATTTCGATTTTATTTTACTGGTCAAAATGTTGCCAGCGAATATCACACGACGGCTTCACTCTGTCCGGTGAAATTCGCTCTACGATTTCGGCTCTGTTTACACTTTATAGTGCTGGATTTCCACTAGGCATTAAATGGCAAAAATTTTAATGCAGGGTTTGAAAATGCTGTAATATTTTTATTTAATTTGCTTTTGCTGTGCTTTTACTTCGGCATGTATGATATCGAAAGCAAAGCAAAAGCAATTCAGAAAAAAACAAATGCTTTGGCTGACGTTTTGAAAGCAATTTGTGGAAGCACAAAGACAGCGCAGCAGCAGCAAATCAACACCAATTTGACTATAAATTTGCTGCGAAACATCGATTTGGAAGAAACAGAGGGTATTATATGTATGCGTGCGCAAATCCACTAGTCGCTTACCCTGCGGCTTTGCATTGATCGCGGAGTTAATATGTATATACCATGCTGCAAAAGCGTCATGTGCACAACACAGCCAAGCAGATAACAGCACAGCAAAAGCAGTTTCACAGCAAATCAAAAGCAATAAAATTGTTTAAATAAACTGCCGATAAAAAAAAAAACAGAATAACCTTTTCAAAGTCACAGCAAAAGCAAAGCAGTTCGAATCAAAATCGAAAGTTTCAAAGCTAAGCAAAAGCAAAAATAGTAATGCTGTTGGTGCTTTGCTGACAGTTTTTCAAACCCTGTTTTAATGACTTATTTGGGCATTAAAAAATTTTCGTGTAATTAGGATAAAAAATAGTGATTCAGTTTATTTCCATATGATACCAATTTTTTGTCATTTCAATGCCCAGTGGAAATTCGGCATACGTATTTAATTGAACAAAAGCAAAGAAGATCTACAAAATAAAGAAAAGGCTTTATCCACCCAAGAGTTCAAGCCGAAGATTACAGTCATGATTTGTTGGTTGTAGTGGCTCCCAAGTTGCCAATAAAGGTACAATTAGCGCATAATAGCGCAATTTTTCTGCATTTCTGGTAGACAGTTTTATTCCACCGTAGCCTGCCTGTCAATTTTGCTGGTTTAACAAACCACGTATTAATTTGTGTATAGCGGTCATCATAGCACGCAGGTAGCTGGGGCATATTCTATAAGCATGTCACATCTAAATATGTACGTATGCCTCTGCGTCTATTAGCACCACTACAAAGTTCAAGTACTTTCCATTGTTCACTCTAACGTATGTGGCATGCCACTTCAACTGACCATAACAGTTAATCGAAGTCACTTAATCTTTATCACTCGTTATTTAATTGCTGTCGAGTTAAGACGATTATTGCAATAAATCTTCTGCAGTTATGTAAGTGACTTTTGACCCTTTGTCCTTTGCGTTGCTTTCTAATTTGATAGGTAAAGCATTAGGTAAATTAAATTTGCATTAATGTGGAAGGATGAGTTTACTATGCGTATGCATTACGATTAAATTGAGTCGTTTGGTGAATTGACTAATCCGCTTATAGATGACATAATTTAAAATGATACGACTAATTGATAAGCTTTAGAATCAGTAGATGAATTTGTATCACTGCCAACCGTCTAGGATACCGCCTGGCATTGAGCGCTCCTCCCTCCTCTTCCCTATGTACAGCAAGGAGGTCTGCATCGGGTCAGATCTCATCAAGCCAACAGATCGCCTGCTTGTCTCTTATCTGCAAAAGACAAAACGACGGACCTCCTGGGGTTTGACGCTGGATTTGTGCCCGGGTGATTTCTGTCTTAGTTTTCTGTCTTTCGATGAAATGTTCTTTGGCGACCTCGCTGATGGCCCTGGGAGTAATTTGACGCCTTTCCAGGGCTGGTTTGTTGGATTATTTTGACTACTTTGGTTCATTGGCGGAGTTATCCTTGGTGTCCGAAGTTTCGGATATATTCTTGAAGCTCTTAAGAGTTCTAATAGTAGTCCTACGGCTTTGGATGGGCTTTCTTCTTAAACCCTCTACGCAAGCCATCTCCTCCATTATTGGGAGCCGTTTTCGAGCTTGCCCCTGATGGATTCTTTGCTGCTTTCTTCGACGAAAGGCGTTGGCAGATGAGGTTAATTGGACTTGTTTTCGAGTGCACTGGCGATGGACGAGTCAACTTTAGTGTCCATTGGTTTCTCAGCAGGTTGTTTGGACTTCAAGTAGCGGTCGGGCAGATCCGTTGAAGGCCACCAGGGTAGTCCTCCAAGTTTTTTGTTTGTCTACGATTTGTTGTCGGCGGTATTATGACACCCGAGACCGGCTAAGGGTTTGGATCATACACTGGTTCATTCAGTCCGGAGGCTCCTATAAAATTCAGTCGTCCAATGAAGACCGGCTCGCATGATATCCTTGATTAAAAGGAGACATATGTCGGACACCTCCCAAGTCTAAATCCGTAGTGTTCGCATATCGCTAGACCCCGAAAATATTATTAAGGAAGTAGTTAAAATAACGGTCGTCATGGATTCTTAAGCACTCGAAGCCAGTGCATTGTATAGTCCTAGCCTAGATCCTTGAGTGCCTAAGCTATTGTGCTCATCTCAGCAAATAAAAAAGTTTTGTTCGTTTTACTTGCCTTTCTTCATTTCGCATTAGGTTTATAAGAAAACTAGCTACCGAAATCTTTTTGTTTCAATATTAACATATATTTTTTATTTTATTGAATTAAACCAAGTGCAATTTACACTTTCTAATATTAAGTGTTTTTAGTTTATAATAACTCGTTTTAAATTAAATTTTGTTCCAATCGCATGCTATTTAACTCTAAGGTTATACATTTCATTAATAGCTAATCTTTTTACAAATTGCTTACTCTTAAGCATACAAATACAATTTTTAGGACTATTGTTACTGATACATTCGTTAAATTGTTCGCCCTTTTTCTGCTTTCCGTTGCCCCGCCACTCCATTTCCACCACTCGCATTAATCGCTCGTTCTTCCGCCTCAGCACCCATCACTGTTATCCGCCTAATTGCCGTCTGCGCCGGTGATATGCTCATTTCAGAAATCGAATCGAAATCACCATTATTTTCCACCTCAGTACAGGATGAACCTGAACCGAATGAACGCATTAAACTTGGACTACTTATGCTAAACTCCAACTCAAATGGATCGCATAGCTCACTGGACGGACTCACACCATCGCTCACCCACTCAGCGCAACTACTATTTGGTGGCGGGCGTGGCAGACTGTTGTGGCAGATTGGATTTTCCTCCGCCGACTGATCCGCTGCCACTGGAACCTCCTGGCCCCACAGCGCTACCGCCCGTTCGAGGTTGATTGCGGCTCTCCGTTGTTGCGCGGCCAGCAACGTTCGTGGGGACTCCACTGGCAGATGGCACGACTGGTGAGCCGGCTGATGCGCTGCCGCTGGGTGTTGATGGTGTTTTTGCTGTTGGTGTGGGGGTTGGTGTTGTGCCGACGCCACCGCTGCCACTGCTGCCAGCGGTGGTTGCCGGTGGTGTTTTGATATTTTCGATGGCCGCTGTCGCTGCTGCGCCTTCTCCACTGGCAGCCATTGCGGGTGTACTTTCGTACTGGTAGGCGGACTGGTCGTAGTCTGTAGCTGAGTAGTCAGCATAGCCGCCTTGTCCTCCGCTGGTGTCGTAGCCGCTCTGTCCGCTAGTGTCATATTGCCCTGCTGTGCCATACTGCTGCTGACTGCCGTCGTAGGCGGACTGATCATAAGCGGATACATCATATGCGCTGGCATCATATTGTTGCTGTCCATATCCCTCGTAGCCGCTGTAATCGGTATTGTAGTCATTGTTGCTGCCGGTGATGGGAGCGGCCACGTTTGGGTCGGTGGCTCTGCCCGATAAATCTGCCGCAGTGGAACCGGTGTTGACGTCGCCAGCGGTGTACTCTTTACTGTAGTCTTTGGTGTAATCTTTGTCGTAGTCTTTGCTATAGTCTTTGGTGTAATCGTAGTCGGACTTGATTGGGTCAGCATTGCTGATTGCTCCGTCGATGTTGCTGCCACTGACGATGTCATTGTTGTTGCGCCTCTTCTCGCCTTCTCCCAAATTGTCCTTGTTATTTTCGTCATCGGGATCGTTGAGACCATACTTGTTGTTATAGCTGGAGTTGTAGTCATTGTTTGCATCGCCGCTAACGGTGGGTGGTCGGTCGTAAGCGGGCTTGTTGTATAAGGAGCCGGCGGTGGTAGTGCCGGGTGTTGTGTTGCTGTTGTTACTGGTAGTAGCGGTGCCGCCGAATGTGTCGGATGTGCCGGACTTGCCGAGTATGGAGTCATAATTGTACGGAGAGGACTTGGAGTAGTCATCAACACCGGTACGTGTGCTGTCGACTGTACCAAATGTGGTCGGCTTGTAGTCGAGAGTGGCTGCGTAAAAGGGATCATTTAATAAAATTCAAGCCAATCTTTTCTTATGTATATGTACATATGTGTATGTTAAAGGGTTAAGGATAGGAGAGAAGTACCGATACGGCAATGTTAAAGTGTTTTTATGATGGTGCTTTCCTAAAAGAAGCGAAGAGCGTTGCTCGATTAGAATTACTCACTCTTTGGTGTCAAAGTAAAACAGAGTATATTTTAGAGTACAATAATATTATAAATTGGAGTGTCTATTATTTATATTTGTCGATTGAACGCTTAATTCGAACGGAGAACTAAGCGATTATTGGATCAGGAAAACTGGATCTACTTTTAGAGCTTAGTGGCAATTAATATTTTAAATAAAGACGGCTGGACCATTGGGATTGGATATTAGAACTGCAGAAGTTTGGACTTTCAGTCTACAGATCTATGCTCAAATTTGATGCTCTTCAAAATAAATCAAAGAATTACCTTACGTCTGCGTTATATCTCTATCAGGGAACTCACTAATTGTAGCAAAAAATAAATGGATGATAGAGCCCATAGCGATGTACACTGTAAGGTCAATCGTCTATTACGGTAGTAGTATTGTTGGTCAGGGAAAGATGTTTACAGAGATATCGGAGCTCACCTACATCAATAGCGAATCTTCTACCCTCGAATGAGGAGCGGTTCGAAGTGAACAGGGAACCTGCTCAGCCTATAGAAGATCAATTAAGCATTGTAAGCTCTATGCTAACAGGGCATAGTCTGATATGCAATGATATCAAAAGTAGGAACAGGAGGAAAATACTGCACCTTTTTCGAGTATTTCGAGGATTTACAAAACCTAAAACCCGATCGCACAAATCAGGTCTCTTGTGAGATTAATATTGGAAAGTATTTCTGAACTCGAACCTTTTCTATGAGCCAAATGCATTGGGCCTCTCAGTTCGGACTCTTAGCAAAGTAAAACTTGTTTTCTTCGCAGAGAAAAATAAAAGGCTAAAGTCTAACTCTGCTTAGTTGCAATGGAAATGTTCGCTCTTCGCCATAGACTTTGCAGTATCTGTATTTGTGAATCACTTTCTTGCAGTTTGTTTTCATAAACAAAACACCACTTTGTTCTGCGACCCAGCAAAGATGGACATATTTAGGTCCATATATGGGAGTCTGAGAGCCTTCATGGCAGCCAGACTTTCTATAGCAACTTGGAGTTTTGGGTGGAGAGGATCGTTCATGTTTTCCAAATTTGCATTGATCTTATCTTGCAGTAGACTTGAAGTCTGTAAGTCTGTTTGTAAAATCTTCGTTGTTACAAAGGGTGGCGGCTTATCCGTTATTCTATGGGGAGCTCCGAAGTTGTAGCTAAGTTCTCTGTTATCTAATGTTAAAGTCTCTCTTTTTAACAAGAATTGTCTATGAAATAGAGGTAGTCCGTTAGACACAATAAATCTTAGCCGCAGAGTGGTTCTGAACAGCGTCTCGAGCAACCTTCTCCGATTATAAGTGCATAGATATGCCAGCTATTGAACCCTTTGCAAGCTGAGCAGATGGGACTTGGTGTCAACGCTCTCCAAAGCCTCGTGGCTGTTTTTTGTTTATTAAAGGAATTCAGATTATATAAAGTATAGTATATCAGCTCTGAAACATTTCAAATGTGTGTCTGTATGTGTGTATTTTTGTAAGCATGTGTATCAAAGTTGTGGATTTATCGAAATCATTACAATGCGCTTTACCTTTGCTGCTTGCGAGATTACTGTATGAAATTGGTGTACTGTCTAATCTTCCAATACGCTCGCTATTCAACATGCGATTGCTTAAATATTCTACATTCGATTGTAAATTTGATATTTCCACTCTACATAAGTAGATACATTTGTATGAAGTAAAGCATATTCCACGTAGAAGAGGAATGAGAGCAGGTTTTAAGGAGAGTAAGTAAGGAAAAATACGTAGAGATAAAGAAGAAGAGTGAGAGAGAGAGAGAGAGAGCAAAATAAAAGAAAAAGAAGAAAGCAAACGATTAGTCTATTTCAAATGTTCCATAGCAATTACCTTGTCTAAACTATAAGTACGCGCAGAAAAATGCTCTTCCCCTGCCGACTCGGCGGTATCACTTGCAGAGCGCTGGCGTCCATTTGGACGTCTCCAACTCAGCTGTTTTCTTGATTTTTCACGCTCCATATGCAATTCCTTATAGCTGGCCCATATTTGCTTTAGCCGATCCATAAGTTTTTCATTCGTTTCGCGTAGTTGCTGACGTTCTTCGCTACAGTTACAAGAAAAAAAGAGTTAAATAAAATTTTATATAAGTAAATGAGTGTGAAAAACTTTCGCGCGGCTTTAGGCAGGAAGAGCATTTTTCGTACAAGTGGTTTTTTTTCATGAGCTATGTATGTATGTAGTAGTTCAATTTAAAGGAAACTTTTGCGGAAAATAATTTAAAATATTTTGTAAATATATTAACCCGCAAGTTAAGAGAGCAATCGAAATTATTGTTCCAAGCTGGCATTTTCGAGTTCGTCCACTACCAGCTCATCTAAAGGCAAGTCGGGTATATCTATGGCGGGCGATAGGTCTTGCGCTCCATAAACTTCTTCCCGCTCGCGCTCATTGGGCTTGGCATCTGTTATTGCAGGCTCTGTTAATTGTACTTTGACTTCGCGTGGCGCTGCTGTGTCTTTTTCTACTTTCTCCTTATGCTCTCTACCCGGCTTGGGCACCAATCGCACATTTACGTCTACTTTGACAGGTGGTCGTGGCTTTTTCTTTGCCACTACACATTCGTGTGGTGTTACGCACTCGCGCGACGCACTACCACCCACCCTCTTAACCGCACAGCATTCATCGCGACGCAGTAGCTCTTCAAAATAGGTGCGTGGTTTGTAACTCGGTTGCGTTAGGCGCGTAGCTGCTTCCCCTCGACTCGCGGTTGACTTAGTCGCTGATTTGCTTGCTTCTGGCATTTTTGCCTTGCTTTCAGTTGGCGCCGTCAAGTGCTCGCCTTGACTTGGGCTCTGACATGCATGGCAGTAATCTACGGACTGGCGTTCGAGTCCACTAAAAGTTTGATTCAAAACTAGATGCTGTTGCAGCCAAGGCAACGGCTCTGTTTTGCAGTGTACATGCGGATAGCAAGCCGATGGTTGCAATGTCGTTGAAGAACAGGCTGCGGCGGGCGCAAGCGGATTACAGGACGTGCAGAGCTTCGGCGCGGCAGTCGCTTTATCGAAATGCATGAAATGAGTGCCGCAATGTGGCGATGGTATAGCTGTTGTGTTGAGCGCTTCCCTCGCAGGTGTGGAGTATGTAACGGAAGTCGTAGGATGACTACCACATAGGGACACATCTGCGATAGAGCTCGTTTCCGCTGTCAACGTGCCACTTGCCGCCTGTCCTTTTAACCTACTCTGTGTTTCACAAGTTGCTGTGGGTGTAGTGATTGTGGCAACGGCGTGCGCATCCCATGTATAGTTGTGACAACTGCTACTAAAACTATGTGCTAATGCTGCTTTTTTTGTTGTGACAGCTGTGACAGCTGTGCTGGTTTTTGTGGTCGTTGTTGTGTCTACATTTGTGCCAGTGTTCGCGCCCAACGTGTACGCAGTGTCAGAGAAATATTTACTATCGGTGCATTGTGTTTGCTTCCCTGTGGGCGCTCTACTAATATTGCTTTCCCCATTGTTTGCACTACAACAACATGTGCACGCTATCGGCTCAAAATGTGTACAACTTGCTAAGTGTTTCATGTCTGTACTACAACTACCATGAGTGCCGTAGAGTCCACGCCATTCGGCGGCGTTCGTCGTCTTTGTCGCGCCGCGACCACCACCTTCATCGCTGGCGCTGCGTCGCAAAAAAGCCGATGGTGTGCGGTGCAAATGCCCACAACGTTGCTGGCGTCGATGCACCGATAGTGGCAATGTAGGAAGTGGTGGCATTTTGGCTAGTTCGCGTTCGAGTCGCTCGTTGCTTTTCGTAATATTCGCTAGGATATCCTCGTCACTTCCGTAGCCGTGGCGACGACGCATCTGTGATAGCTTTGGTGCTGGTGAGCGTGATCTATGTGTGTCTACTGCTTCCACATCTTTTTCGACAGCACTCTTAGGCGGCAAAACGTACTCGTTTACGCTTGTGGCCGCTAGCGAAGTTGCTAGCGGTATTTTTGGCTTCGTGCCCGTTAATGAACTGCTTGTGGTAGGTGGTGTTGGTGCTAGTGCTGAGGCCTGTTTCGTTGTAGCTTCGCTGACAATTTCTTTTGTTTTTGTAGTCGTTTTCATTGCCGGCATCTGTGAGCAGGTGGTTGTCAAATGTGTTGGCACAGACCAAGCGACGCCGCTGGTTGTAGTTGTTGTTGTTGCTACATAGGGAGTTGGCGTTGTCGCGCGCGTCCTGGGTGCGTGTGTCACAGACGGCGTTGTTGCCCACACTGTAGGCGATTTGCATGGCACTTGCCTTGTGGTTGTTGGCTTTGACGTGGTCGGTTGGGGTTTTGTGGTTGTAATACTGTCTATCGGCATTGGTGTTGCTGTTGCTCTTGTGTTTGCTACTACGAAGTTCATTTAATGGACGTTCATTGAGTGCGTGCATTGTTAAGTTTTACGGTAATCAATCAAATTGCGTTCAACATTTATTTATTTGTTGAATTGCGTAAATATTTTACGTATGCATGTATGTATATGTGGTGGCATGTTGTTGCATGTCAAATTTTTTTGCAATATATTTCAGTGTTTGCAGTATTCATTATGATATTTTTTTTGTATTTTTATTGAATTGACGGTGATTTTTGTTGTTATTATAGTCATCAGTGTAATCGTTTTTCGTTTTCGAGCAAGCGGCAGCAGTAAAAATAAATAAGAATTGTGAAAAACGACAACGCATTAATCCAGCGTGTTCATTGTCTTGTTGTTTTTGTAGTTATGTTCAATTTCGTTTTTTTTTTTTGTTTTGTTAGCAAAATTAAATGTCGAATTGTGTTGTGCGTGCACTTTTTGACGTTTTTTTCCATCTGGTGCAAGTTTTTTTTTTGATATGTTGCCGAGTATTTTCCGTTTATACCCTACACAGTTTCTATACACCGAAAATTTGCTAATTTTCATATTGTTTGGCTTTTGATTCGTTATATTTTTTATTTGTAATTACATTCCATGTATTTGTATCTATAAATATTTTTTACACTGAGACGCAGAGTGTTTTTTATTTTTAAAACTTTCCAATTCAAAAGAAAGCTTGAAAAATTAATAACTGCCGCTCAGTGTTAGTTTGAGTTAGGTAATTGAATGTAAAGTGTAAAGAAGATGCTTTTAGAAATATGCCGTTTACCGTAACTCAGTTAGGACGAAAATATGCGCCGAGGTAAATAGGAGCTTATTAAAGCTTTCCTTAAATAGGAGACGATCTGAAAGAGCTTTTGCTCACTACGCGCCTATGAGCAGTCTATACGAACTTTAATAAAATCATAGTTTAAAAAACGGAAACCTCGCTATTATAATTTCCATTCGTACTGTCATCAGGTATGTAGCTTGAGAATAGAAATGGCTGCATCTTTTAGGCGCATCAATATTACATAGTTACATCCCGAGCTAATAAGAGGGAGGTAAAAAGCTTCTCCCGGGGTACTAGTTTTTCTCTGAATGTTTTATATAGTGCTGCTCATAGAGAGCCTTGACTCTATGCGCGCCCATATAAAATCTACAGAAAGCTTTACAGAGGTCAGACCGCGAGCACTGTTTTTAGCATCAGTGATATAGACGCACACAGAAAAAATCTTGAGCAGGTGATCGTTGATATGAAGCCCGCATTAAGAGCTATTCTACGATCCCTTTATAATTCGTGAAGTCGTGAACACACTAAAATACAACTATCTGACCAGTCCTCATACATACATACAGAGAACTTAAGTTCAGAAAGAGTTTTTTCTCTTGGGCATATAATATCTAAAGAAAGCTTTGAAAAGCTTCTCCTGCGGTACATGTTTTAAACTTGACCGATATTTAACTATCCTGCGGTCTATTGCGTGGTAATCTACGTTAGGGCAAAACCAATACAGTCTGAAAACTGTCCGAGAAAACACAGCATAAGCTAGCGGAGCTAGTTCTAGTGAATACCGTGATGGAACCTTGTTATAGACGTAACTTGCGATCACTTCTCAATGTTCGTGAGTGGGAAGCAATAATCCATTATATAGATACGATATTCTCATACCTCCACTTGGCCAGAACAAAAAGTATCCTCTATGTAGCAACCGAATATCCGTTCAGAAGCAATCTAATTAAAGGACTACGATTTAAGGGAATGCACCTGGAGTTTCCGGACCCTTAATGGGAAAGTTAACTCCGCCGGGCTGGTTGATGTCTTCGGGCACAACGCGATCTGTTTGTGAATAATATAGGAAACTGAAGAGAGAAGCGAGACGTATTTGCCGCAACAAAAAGTCAGAGCCCGAAATACGTGAGTGCAAACAGCTTAACATGCTGAGCGACAGAAAAAATGCCTGACAATTTTGTCAAAATGTTAAGCGACTTCCGGAAGGTTTCAAGACTAGTAATGGGATTATCTAAAAGAATAGCAGGCGCACGTAAAAACATGCATCACTTGGTTACATGCCCCTCATACTGCCAGATATTCATTCATATTTTATGTCCCACTGATTTTCATATTGAGCGTTATTCAACCAAATTCTGAAATAGGACGTTCTTGCAAAGTTTTTTGATATAGGGCGTTTTCGTACTGGCTGCCGAGATAGGTCGATCTTCCACTCAGCGGTCGAAATATTATTTGAGCTATTAATTTTACGGCATCGATATACATACGTAAATGCAACTTCTTTAAACCACTTCAATTCCATAATATTACCCATGTACATATGTAAGTATACTAAGTTACTATTTATTTATAAAAAATTCCGTATTTTATATTTACTTGTGTTTGATAGCTGTATCCTCGAGTTTACTCGTCAACGTTTTGCATTCGCTAGTCAATTTATCCATGAGTTGCTTCTGATTCTGTATCATATTCTCAAGTTCATTTACGGTTTCGGCTATGACATAATAAAAGTAAAAACAAAAAATTTTTATTAATAAAAAATTTATTTAAGTGAAGCATAATTCAGTTATTACATTAAATATAAATGACAATTCAAAATTCGCAAAGCTAACATTTTATGATTAGTTTGAGGTGAATTTTTATTCTTACTACTACGGCAACTCATGAATAAACTATTGACTTTCGTTGAACCATTGTTGGTATTGGAAAAAATTTCGTACTGATTTACAATTACCAAACACTAATTAACAATATTTAGAGGCACTAATTTAGTTTTTATTTTGTTAAAAAAAAATTCGTTTGATTTTCTTTCAAAATTTATAAGTTAAAAAGATTTTCACACAAGCCAAATCAATAGCTTACCCAGAACGAAACTGTGTAGAGTTAAATGATGGTGCAGTGCTTGTTTGATATATATTTGAGTGGCATTTTATGTGCATTTTTATACTCTACTTTGCTTAAAGCTATGTGAAAGTTTTTAATTTAAAAAGAAATTAAAATAATCTATCTAATTTTTAGTTACATATACTAAAATTGTCGCACAAAGAGAGGGATACACGGGGTCAGGGTATCTCTAAATGCAGGATGTCTTAACGGGCTTTTTCTTTGTTAAAATAGTACAGTCAAATTAGGATGATGAATTCGCAGGCATCGTCGCAAAGAATGTAAAATTTTATTTACTGGTTTCATGCTACTCAAAGGGGCAGCAGTTTTAAAGCCTCAACCAAACTTGCTTAAACATTAGTATCCCTGCATGACAGTCAAATTAAAAAAGAATGTTGCTCCATCTCTAACAACTCTGTACAGTGGGTCGAAGCTACTATTTTTTTTTATTAAAAATACGACTTCAATCATAATTTAGTACACCTAAAGCAGAATTCAGCAAATTATTTTTATACAGCATTTCACATTAGAGGTTTAAAATATTCTACAAAAATTTAAATCTGCAAATTTTACTTTGGGTGCTCTATTATGGAGGGATACATCAAGGACAACACGCTACAATGGTACACAGATGGCTCTAAGATCCCACACGGTTTCAAGCGGAAGTTTATGCACATAGTCTGTGCGCAGAGACTAAATTTCATAGGAATCATGAAAGCAAGAAGGTCATTATCCCAAGCGGACCGGCACTGTTGCATCTCTCATGATTCGGGGTCAAATCCTCATTGATCCAAGGAAATGAGGAACCCGATCAGGTAGTCAGAATAGCTGCTGCATCGACTCCAATAGGACCTCAGCCCTTCCTTGCGATAGAACCTTTTACAGTGATGGAAGCATTCAGAGAGGAAAATTTCCAACTGAGGGAACTCCACTAGCGAAACAGCAAGGGTATTCGTTAGGCTACTGCAACTCATAAACCTCCCCAAGGAGAGGCTTAGAATTATTACAGGCATTTTGGCGAGTCATTGCAGGCTAAGACGCTACTTGAAATAGCTAGGGATCTGGTCGAGCGATCTCTTTTGACCCCACCGAAGAGAAATCAATGTACCCCTTCGTGAAGTTGCGTAGGACATATATGGCCAGGAGTAGAGCACAGACACTTCCTAGCCATGGGACCTTTTCTAAAATTTATAGCGAATTTAGGGCTAGAGGCAGTAGTCCAAATAGGCGTACTGACTCTATTTATATGTATATGTACATATACACAGTTCTTGAGATTTGCTTGGATTTGGTCATGAAGTTAGAGCGAAGATATTTCATTCTCAACAACAGTCTGGCAGCCTTGTAGAAATTTTTGAGACGACTCAATCTCATCATACCCCAGATGAGGTGCTTGGTCGCACCGCGATCATTCTGATCAAACAGTAGCCTGGTAAAAACAGCCACAAAAAATTACAGCTGTGCCTTTGCAATTTTTACTTAGAGGAGGCAGGTCAAGAAACGCCTCGAAATCCGCAGTTGGTGTTGTTTTCATCGCACCCACCTAGGCTAGTCGCTGTAGTTTGCTGAGGTCGGTCAGCGTGCGCTTTACTTATGCCTTCTTCCACCAGACGGACGCAGCATAAGTTAGAAAAGATTTGGAGAAAGTATGAAACATCCGCCTTGCCAGTTTCCGGTTGATACCCCAATTTCGATCCGTAAGTCTCCAGCAGGTGCAAAGTCTTATCGTCAAGGATGATTCCCAGAAAATATACCTCTTTAGAGAAGCGTATCTTTGCTCCTTGAAGTAATGTTTCCAGTAACTTTTCACCTTTTCTTTACCTGGAAAAAATGGTTATGTTAGTCTACTTTGGGCGTACTTTTAACGCGTTTTACTGCACCATTTGGCGACTATGTTCAGCGCATTCTTTAGAATGATAATATCGTCCACGTAGCCCTGAATATGGAAGGCATTTCACTTAGTAGGAAGAGTAGCTCATCCATCTCGATCGACCATAGCAGGGGGGAGATAACAGCGGGCAACCTTTCGTAGCTAAAAGTCTGACGCTTTTCTGTTCTAGAGTGGATGTAATGGTTCTGGATTTAAGGACGTTTGCTATCCAACAGGATATGGTTGTATTATCAAAACGTCCTCCGCGTCCAAAAAGCATTCTACCGCGTTCACTTTTCTCGATGGATTTCTCAATTTTCCTCGTTAGTAGCGATATTAAGAAACGCATGGAACTTTTAGACAAACAACCAGTTTCGCAAAAATATAAATCCCAATTCGGAGCTAAATTCGGCTGACCAATTATAAATGGCTATAGATCGTGGCATTATCTATCTATCTGAAAAGCTGTTAATATGTTATTTTTTTTTTTAATACGCTGAAACATGAACGACGTCTAACGAAGATGAGCGCGCTTGAGAAGAATTCTGGACAAATATTCAACGAAAGCTCCCAAGCCCAGCTTGCTTAAGTGACGGGTATTGAAAGCACAATGAAATAAGTATCCCCTACGAGCTCAAGACGAATTAGGGAAAGCGATAAAGTACTAGACTAAAAATATGTCAAACGTCAAAATTTTCCTAAAAGCTACAGTGCATCAAAAATTAAATAACTTGGTTCTACTTGGTTAGTAAAAAATTCTAATAAAGCTTAAAATAATGTGCCTTGTTTTTAGAAAAACTATCAGAAATCTCACCATGCTTATCATGCATCTCGGTCATACGCTTATCTAAATCTTTTTTAGTGGGCCGAATTTCGTTTTTCATCTCACCGTAGGCCAGCTGAAAATAATAAGCAATTAGACGAAAATTTACGCACCACCCTTTGCACAAATCTACCAAAGATTCAACTCACCTCCTTCTCCAAATTGGCAATCTCATCATTCAGGCGCAGCACCTCCCGCTTGGAATGCAACAAATCGGCATCGCCGCGATCCAAACGCTGTCGCAACGAACTGATCTCGGCCGTCAGACGCGTCGCCTCAGTTTTCGCCTCACGCGCCGCACGATCCAACTGCAGCCGCAAGGAAGTGATTTCCTGCTCCAAGGATTGCTTCTCCGCATTCGCTTGCGCCATATCGGCCAAGAAAGTATTCCGATTTGAACGCAGCTCCATCTTCAGCTCATCGATCTGCGCATTGCGATTCGAGAGATCGCGCTTCAGATCGTTTGCGTAACGTTTCTCACGTTCCAAATCCAACTGCAATTTGGCCACCTGCTCCCACTGATTGCTCAGATCGCCGCCCAATTGATCCACCTGCGTGTTGTAGCGTCGTTCGGCATTGGCGCGTTCATCGGCAATGCGACGCGCCATCTCATGCTGTAGCTCGCGCACACGCTCATGCTGCCGATCGAGCTCCTCGCGCAGATGCTTCACCTCCAACTCCGCCTGTGAGCGCTCCATCTGCACTAGATCGCTGATGTAACGCTTGGACGAGGCACCACTCTGGTACTGCTGCGACTTGGCTTCGTCCAACATTTTTTGCAGCTGCCGCACGCTATCCTCGAGCGCATTCTTCTCCTGCTGCAGGTGGTCGATTTGTTTGCGATGCGCGTCACAATTAGCGGCCGACGAGTTAGTAGCTGGAGTGGCTGCATGGGCACCAGCCAGCACTAGTGGGTCAACGTGTGCCAATTTGCGTTTGAGCTCTTCATTTTCCGTTTTCAAACGTTTCAAATCGATATTTGATTGCATCAACTCTGCTTCGAGCTCGCTTATGCGCGCTTCGTAGACGATATTTGGTGCTGACGCGTATCGAGGTGATTTCACTGTGCCAGAGGAAGAGTCTTTCTTGCTGCGCGGTGTAGTGGAAGCCTTCTTCTTGTATTGCTGCCGTTCATCGCTATCCGAGGAGGGACTTGTTGTGGGCAGTGTCTTATCGACACAGCTCAATGTGGCTAACTCGGAGCGTGCGGTCTCCGTGAGGTGCGTATTCTCGTTGATCACGTCTTTGACTTTGCCAAGCAAATTGGACAACTCATTGCGGCAGTATTTGGACTCTTTCTCCAGTTGTTCAATGTAATCCTCTTGCTTCTCGATGAAATTGAAAATCTCCACAGGCGCATGTACACTATCAGCGGCGGGTTGTTGTGGTTTGCTGGTTGTGTAATATTCCAGTGGAACGGTTGCGGTGGTAGTGCTGCCCGTATAGGGCATTTGAAGTGTCAAATTATCCTTGGAGGAGGAGAAAGCCTTGTAAGGTTTCGGTTTTGTGCGAATACCCGGGCTAAAGCGTGACTTTTGAGCTGGTGACAAGTACTTCGAAATATCCGAATAAATAGGACGCTCGATAACCTGCAAAAAAGAGATAAAAAGAGGTCAGTAACTGGCTACGGGAAACTCAGAATTATAAGCTTACATTGAAGAAATTCCCAACCAATCACTTAACTATTAAAGTTGTTATTTGTTATTCAATTTAAAAGAAAGACCCCCCCACCTGCCTCTGTACATTAAAGGAACAAATTGCCTAGGTAGTTCATTGTCATATCTCCTCTGCATCACCATAGAAACTTCAGCGGACGAGAGCTGACATATGAAAGGGCGTGCAACGTACGAATTAGCAGCACAATTGTTGTAAGTTTAGGTTCCTTCGCCGACACTGTAGAAAGATTGCTTCCTATAGGATCGGTATACCCTTTTCAAATAGTCGGTTGAGCCGGGTCGGCGAGAAGCACAAGGGGCCGTCAAAGGATCAACGATCGCTAGGCAAAATTCTTTAGACACACTGACGACGGCTCTCTATATACTGGGTACCTTACAGCCATGAATATAGCGCACAAAAATGCTCACATACGGCCAAAATTATATATTGCCCATATTTGAGGTCGAAGGCTGGTGACAAGGCACCTAAATAGATAAGGTATTAGTCGCTGCGATACACTGCTCAAAATTTTTAGTTTCTAAGTCGTATAAACTGCCCGATTTTATACCGAACATGGAGGTAGTCGAATGTCTGAGTTTTACCCCACCCATACATTTTCCAACAAGGGAGGATTGGGAAGGTGGCCTACTGTCTTTAAATAATGCTTATTTTCCCCTACACTGATTGCTCAAAGAAGGAAAGAGCAGCTGGTTCAAAACTATAAACAATAATTTCGCCAGCCTGATAACTGCAGTGCCTTTCAATCAGAGAAATTTAACTTAGAGAAGGCGGCTTGTCTCATGCAGTGGAGTAAGGCACTGTATTTGTTGAACAGGCCAGGCGGCATGGAAAATGTTAGGTCCAAAGGTAGTAAAGTCGAATATAGTTCAGAAAGGTCGTGTGTCGCTGGTTGCACTAAGTGGCGTTAATGTTTCCCACTGACTTCCCTCTGATGGGTTCCTGGACATAGCAATATCGAAGGGAACGAAGTAGCCGACGCGATGCCTAGACATAGCTCGGAAACGAAAATTTGTGAAAAGGATCACTCCTACTGAAACCGACTATTGGAATACTAAGGAGGATTAAAGAATACTCCAGAAAATTGTATTGACCACGCTCAACCAACAATTGAAGCAGGTTGCTTATTCACAGCTTCGAGATCAACAAGGGTGTATCCAGGTAGGGGCAGCTACCCTCCCCTCCGTTCCTTCTTTCCCGGTACCGCTCAATTGCCGCGTGCGTTTGACTCGGCTGCAGGGTGGCCTGAAAAGTTGCCTATTTCTCTGTAGCAGCTGCATATAACTTTTCAACATACCAGCTCTTTCTCTTTCGCTGATATTTGCCGACCGCAGTGGTACGAAAAGATTTGAAGATCGATTCCCACAGCTCATTTAAATCCGGTTGATGAGAAGTTTTTTGTTTAAGTAATATTCAGATTCAATTGAAAAAGTTCTCTCGGATATCGTTTGTGACTGTAGGTTTCTCGTATTTGATCAGGGGAACTCCTAATGGTTTTATGTATGTTTCAATGCTGGTGTATGGCGGCGACGTCAATGAGCTTTTCTCCGTTTCCGAAGACGTTAACGTGAGACTGAAATTTCCGACTGCTGGACCAGGTGGCTTACTCTGTATTGCGATTCGAAATGCAAATCATTCAATTTCGGATATTAGGCACTATGGATTTGTATTAGTCCGTGTCGCTCTTTGAGTCGAATTGAATTTTTAATCGTAATACAGAGTAGAGACCCCCAGATGTGTTTAGCTTTCATTCGGATTGCGGCAATTCGACTCTTAAGTTGATCAGATGCTCTGAGCTCTTAAACCGAATAAGTCGGAGTGGCCCCACCGACAGAACCACCACCCACCAACCAGAGTGCGCGAACGGGGACGCAAGACTCGCGATTAAGTATACTGCTGCAACAGCTGTATAGGGGTTACCAGGGGTTTCAAAGCCTATTTAAGATTATCAGACTCACATATAAAATATGTATAGTTGTTGAGCACTTTAGCAAAGTATTATTCGAAAATTAACGAAGAATCTTTCAGCAAGACTTTTGCTGTATGCACAACTTTGGAATCCTTTAGAAAATCTTACCAAATTAAAAACTAGATTCCCTTGTTTTATTTTCCTTAGCACAGGCTAAGCATTGCTTAAACCCAAAAAATATAAATTCTTGCATTCCAATTAGAATTTCAAACCAACTAAAGAGTTCAACGAACTTCTATGCCAATTGGCAAACTTTGTTGCATTAAATAAAATTACAGGCAATTATTGTTGTTTCACTTACCGACAAATTATCTGAATAATTATCCGTGGAATCCTCATTTCCATGCCGCAAATACGCCCCTGCTGCACCACTACCACCGCCCGCAGCTAAGCCGGCGCCACTACCACTTCTGGGCGGGGCATACGATTCGGCCAACATTAACTTTAGCCGGCTAACAGCCTCATTATAGGCATAGTTTGTATAATCCATCGGTTTGCACTTCTTGTTGGCGGCGCTCTTTGAAGACTTCATTGGTATATTCCTGAATGAAATTCGCATAAAACAAAACTAAATTAGAACTTTTCCGAAATCACTTGTTATCACATTTTTGTTAGAATGAGTTTTAGCTGTTCTGTTGACGCCTTCTCCGCGCTGTTCGACATTTGTACAATCTACCACGCATTCTAAGCAACAACTAAAGCCTAGCCATGTAAAAGGACTACTGTGCCCTGCTGCAATGCGCTGGCACTTACATACATACATACTATGTACAGTGAGTGGGCAGTCACTTTCCGCCCCTAAAACGCTGTCAGCACCAGCACTCGCAAACACACACACACACACACACATGAACACACTCCAATTGGTAATGTTTCGGTTTTGTTCCCATTTGGAAGTTGCCTTATTTTGTTTTGTCCTGTTTTGTATGCCTTCGTTGCTATGACACTTTCTGATTAGGAAATTAACCTGTACGAGAAACATAAAAACAATTGTTCCAGTTTTCTTGTTTTGGTTTTCTGTGTTTCAGACAAAGGTTTTTGGTGGTTGTTTTAGTTGGATTTTAGTTCTTTCTTTACTCCTTTGTTTTTTTTTTTTTTTTTTTTTTTTTTGTTGNTTGGTTGAGTTGGTTACGCCTGAATGCGTGATGAACTCACATTAATTGGAGTGGTTATGAAATTTGTGTGTGTTCTTAAAATATTAATTTGAAAAATTTCCTATTGACCCTCCTATATTATTATCCTTTTTAGTTGTTTTGTATTAATTTTCTGACACTTTTTGATGAAACATTTTTGAAGAATGAGTGTTAAAAATTCGTATGATAAGATCAGTGAAGAGATACCTGATAGTTGGAGATTTGAATATACTAGCTATTGCTAGGTAGTAATATACATTAGGCCATGTCACAAAAATATTTAAAATTTTTTCAAAGCGTTTTTGAACAACCAGTATTTCAGGAGTGGATAATTTTTTTTATATTTGCCAAACATAAAAGCCGAGAATGATACTTAAACGTTGAATTCCGAAAATATTTAGTCTAACTACATACATACTTATGACAGAAGGGTTTTACTTTGAAGTGGACATTATTTTCTAACTAATGTCATTTTCAAAAAAATTATATTTTACAAAGTTTATAAGATAGGATAATTCTTCTATACATGGGGCATTCCAATGTGACGGGTTTGAAATTTTTGATTTCAATTAATTTTTATGATATTTTTTAACTTTTTTCTGCTTTTAATTAAATTGATTTTCCTTTTTAGTTTGATTTTCTTTCTATTTTTAGTATCTATTGTTCAAAAAGAAAGGTATTTTTTCATTTAATTTTTAGAACTTTCTTATTTATTTCTTCTTTTTTTTAATTTAATTTGTTTTTCTTTTGTTCACTTCTCTCTTATTTTTTTCTTTTCTTGTTTTAAACAGGAAAATAGATATACTTGTTTTGATTCGTTTCATTTTTTGGAATCATAACCTGTTTAATTTTTTTGATTCAATTTGCTTTTAGTTCTTAGAATTTGTTTAAAAAATAAAATGTTTTTTTAACTTCTATTAGTTTTTAAGTACTATTTACGTCTTTTTAATTTTTTTTTTTATTTTTATAATTTAATTATAAGATTTTATTGTTTTAAAAAGAAAAAAGTTATATTTTACTAATTTCATTTCATTTTTAAAAATATTTTTAAATATTTTTGCTTTATTTTCATTTTTTTGCTTTTTTAAGCAATTTTCTTTTATTTATTAGGTTTTATATTTTTAAGGAAAATTTATAAATTCTTTTATTTATTTTAATTTTTTAAAACTTATTAGTTTTTCGAAAGACAGGACAGTAAAGAGGTGTCCAGATAGTTGCCAAAATTGACCATTGCCTTACGAAAGACGGAAAGTGAGTTGAAAGACAGTTGCCATATGTAGTTTATATTTATTTGTATGCTTCGATGGCTTTATTGTATTTGAAAATTGAAAAAACAAAACATCTTTGCGCTTATGACGGGTGGGACAGTATTTTTCGATAGGTGAGACAAGTCCCTATTACGGGAAATTTTTTTTTGTCGGAACATGGCACAACGCGTTTAGAAAACAGCGCTCAGACTATATAATAATAATAATAATAATAATAATAATAATAATAGATTGGCGCTTACACATATGTTAGTGTTTGGCCGAGCTTCTCCTCCGATTTGTGGCGTGCGCCTTGATGTTGTCACACAAAGCAGAGGGACCTACACTTTTTTACGCCGACTCCGAACGGCGATTGTATTTTTATGAGAAGCTGTTTTTCATGGCAGAAATACACTCGGAGGTTTGCCATTGCCTGCCGAGGGACGACCGCTGTTAAGAAAAAACCTTTTTTCTATATTTTTGCTGCGATGTTGCTTTGACCAAGGTTTAAACCCGGGCATTGCGGAGTGGAAGCGCGCACTGCTTACCACTACACCACAGCGGCTCAGACTATATGCCGTCCATTTTATTGTCTTCGTGTCCATTTTAATCTGTTTTAAATTTGCACGATTTACGAATAAACCTAAGCAGACTTTGAGCTGACGTGTTCGTCTCTCAATACATCGCAGCCAAATTCCTCATTCCTCTTCAAGGCAGGACGGGCAAATGGAATTGTCATGTACGCCTATCACAGTCAAGTTAGTCTGCAGTTCCGTCTGTTCAATGAGAGCAAAAAACTACATAGACCTTCTAAATGCCTCCCAGTCAGTGCAAAGCGAAGTTTTCACCCAGTTTCTGCTGATATCTGATGATGAGTCAGTTATAATGTTGACCTATATTATCTACTTCGTCCAAGCACTAAAGCCAGTTTTATTATGAATTTACCCGACTGAATTCAAATTTGTCTATCATATGCATGTTTTATGGCGTTAAAAGGGTATACTTAATATATAATAACTCGACTCCAGAGCCACCTAGCGTGCCAAATTGCAAACCTAAACCATCCAGAGACCAGACACATACAAAAACTTTCGTCAAAATCGGTGCAGCCATTTAGGACGTGTTCACTTACAAACCCGCGTAAAGAAGAATCAAGTATACCTGCAAAGCTAGGTAAAAGTTTAAGTACGTTTGGAAGCCGCCACGATCTCTTTTCAAATAGCCCCACTTTTTCCATAAGCATGGGATTAGCTTCATATATTCACATACCAAGTTCCAGTACTCTACCATGAGCCCTTCCAGAGATATGCAGCATGAACTATTCGGTCTGTATAGGAGCTATCAAGGCACTTTATAAATAGAAATTTTGTTACTATATAACCGCCCTTGGAAGGTCTGCAGAACGTGTCTGAAATTTGAAAGAAATCGGTACAGCCATTCTCGGGCTTTGGGCACAGAAAAATGCGGCTTTCAATACTTATATATGTACATAAGAATAGATATAGCGTTTTTATATGGAGATATATTATTGCGTATAAAGAAGTGAAGACCAACTTAACTGGTGGAGGCCCCCAAATTGTGGAGGCCCCTCGGCCATGGCCCGACTGGCACTAAGGTAAATCCGGTGCCGTCCACAATCCTTTCCATTTTCCTACACATTAACGATTGCTTTTCTCTTTTTGTGTAGCAATTTCAGCATTATCTGATGAAACTTTGTCAAACTTATTTTTGTTGAGGTTGTGCCGTTATGAATTTGTTAAAACAGCAAACATAATAAAATTTTACAAGTATTCATTTATATATTATATATATTTATAATATTTCATCCGTCCATAGTAAATATAGGGAAACAAAAAGTGAAAATTGAACCGGTTCGGGGAAAATGAAGTTCACGATAAGGTTGATTGTCGCCTGGTAAAAGATTGTCGTATGTTACTTTCGCAGGTTTTGTTTGGGAAATGCTATTGAAGTTTGGAATGCAATTTTTAAATCGCGGCGATTTTCTCTAAAGTATCAGAGAATGTTAGTAGTTCACGAAATTCTTAAATTAGTTTTAACCGACTTCACAAAAAGGAGATGGTTATCAGTTCGTCGGATTATTATTTTTTTTTATGTAGGTATGTTACCGCATAACTTTGGACCACGTTAACCGATTTCGATAATTCTTTTTTCATCGGAAAGGTGGTACCCTACTAATTTTGTTTAGATTAGGGGCAAATTTTGGAGTAAATTTCTGGCGAACTTCCCGATGACCTAGAGACTTGAAACTTCACAGTTGGCTCAGAACCCGATGACAATGTAACATGAAAGATGATTTAATCCTATAGGTGGCGCAGTAGTGGAGATATTTGAAAATCCCGTATTTGTAGTCCGATTTGGTTAATATTTAGAGCATATGTATGTTAACTACATAAAAAGAAATAAGTCCACTAAAAAATTTTCCCATAGGTGGCGCACGAGTCCAATTGGAACTAAAATTTATATGTGATATCCTCGACTTTAGTAGTATCGATTAAATGAAAAAAAAATATTGTCCATTTTTTGAGTCCTTAGAGGCATTTGGTCTTTGACCCCTTTGCGATATGCCTTAAACGACTCCAATCGGAACCAAAATTTATACGTGATATCTGTGACAGTGTATTGAGGGGGTGAGACCTAAAAAATCCTTCATTTGATGTTTAAGGACTACCCTAATATACATATTAGGCTGTAAATAGAGCTCGGATATTTATGCAAGTGCATATTTTTGTTTAACATTATAAAAAGTCTAGACCTGGGGAGAAACTCATTATAGGAGGAAGTGGATTAATTTGGTCCTATTATGTTTTGCATATTTTCACATATTTTAGATGTTTGCATATTTTTTTTAATATTTGCATATTTTTGTATATATTTTGCATATTTCCTAAAAAGATGGCAGCCGTTTTTAACTCTGCACGCGACAACTTGACTTCCTTCTGCTTGAAACGTCATGACGCGCTGCGCCAGCATAGAACGAATCCGATTTATCAGTACATAATGTGGAGTACAGCAGAATTGCACATGCTATCGAAGCTGACATTTTAAAAAGTACCCTCAGTGTCTAAAAATATACCCAAGGCGAATTCTTGCATGGCTAATTCTGGCAACCAGGGCTCGAATCGTAACATCCGTTCACGGATCGAAAACCATACGAAAGAAAATATGTGATACGACAGTCGTATAGGCTGAATGGGATAACGAGTTTTAGAGGGTTTCCTATGCTTGCCTTTTGCGCTCTTACTTTC